GAAGGATGCAATAGAAAGAGACACAGAGTGGAACGGATAGGTTACACACCAAAAAAGGATAATTTAAAAATCAAATTAAGGTTTGGCTTTAATTGTTGAAAAAAAAAATCTAAACAAAGATTTTGACATTCAAAAAAAAAAAAAAAAAGGAATACAAAATTTTTTGAACCAAAAAGCGTTAAAACGAAATTATATGGATTTGCTCCAATCTCTAAGTGACACCAAAGAACTCGAGCAAAGAGTTTACAAGTGTTTTTATATCATTTATCCAAGCTTAATATGTCACTATCCTAATTCAGCCTAAACAGTGCTGAATGGCGGAATTTTGTGTTTTTATATCATTTACCCAAGCTTAATATGTCACTTTCCTAATTCAGCCTAAACGGTGCTACTGGCGGAATTTTGAAAATCATTCTCATGTCAATGGCAACAAATTGTTGATGTTCTCGTGGCTTTCTGTGACAGGGGCATTTATGCGAATACTTTGTACAATATGTATGTGATAATTGTATTTAGTGTGAGTTCGCAAAAGCCATCTGGATTCTGTATGTAAAACATTTTTTTTTATTATTTTCTAATTTTTGGCCAAATAATTTATGAATATGGTATTTGGGTTAAAAAAATGTGAAAATCGGAAGCATAATATGAAATTATTGTAGCATGGAATATTTCGAATAATTTACTTCAATTCAATTATAAACTAAATACTCTCAATACTCATTATTTGGAGAAGAAAATAAAGTGAACATTTTTGCTCTAGCTCGAGTTTTTTTTTAATATCTGCGGCATGTTTCACTTAAATAAAAACATAAAATTTAAAGATTTCATCAACATAAAGAAGGAACGCCTCAGGACTCAACTGGTCCAGTTCTACCGGATGTAATACACCAGCCTGTGTCTTATACCTCGTCGTTATCTTAAAATCCTGAACCATTTCTTGCAGAAGAAGTTTTCTAGGCACTTGGTGTAAGGGGATGTACTGGAAGAAGTTAACCGTTAAGAGAATTTTTTAGATATACCATGTTTGAAAAGAATCGCTGGCTTGCGCATGTTATGAGATACATAATTGTTCGAAAATTTGACCCTTTGTTGGAAAGGGAGTTTTCGTACCGGATCTAGCATTTCGACCATATCGGAGCCGATTTTCGTCAGAATCGGCATATTTATCTATACGATAAATCCGGCCATATTGCCATCTATCCATCTTAGTCTGAATTACACATCTGGTCAACAAAAATCATGTGAAGATATATCTAGGACTATGGGGACCATACGAAGACGTGGTCGTACCCAGTATGAACTTTAAATACAATATTTAAAACAATTCCTGTCTATAATGTCCCTAGAATTATAAAAATACCGATTACACGGACATGCGTGGACGGACACGGCCCATTTACAACCAAAACCTGTCTACTGGCAAAATACATAAATCTCAACAGACAGACAGACAGACATAGTTCAATTGACTCAGAATTTTACGCTGATCCAGGATATATAGTCTTTATTGTCTAAATTGAGTATTTCGAGGACTTACAAATAGAGTGACAAAGTTAAAATACCCTCCGTAGAATGGTGGGGCTGTAAAAAAATAATTTTTCTGGTATAGCCTGGGGTTTTTATACCGCCATAAAATTAAATTTATTTTTCTCCTTGCAACACCTCGAAATTTTTATGATCAGAATAAAATTATGAGGCGATTTACCGATATTCGTCAGTCTGTCTGAAACAACGATAGAGTCCACATTATTTAATATAGAGCTAATCTACAGCTACGTGTCTTGGCATGTTCTTGACATAACTCCAGATTTTAGCCAGCCGAACCAAACACAATTTTCCGATCCATTCCATCCTTACAAAATTAGTACAATTAGGTTCCCCTTATCAGAATTTTAATACTTATATGTACATCCGTCACATATAGGGTGAGATGAAAAAACTGCAACCAAACTAAGACTGGTGTCATTTCTAAGCCACTCGTCCGACAGCGGCTAAATTTATTCCAGAGACATTTTGGTGAGAATTTTCCAGAAAAAAATGTATTTGTGATGGAATTCAAGCGTGATAGTGTGATTTATTTATATTTGGCTGAAAACCCACAAGTGTCTATCGTTAGAGCACTCCAGTATTTAAATGTGAATTCATCTTTTGTGTCTCGTAGCATCGCTCGTTACCGTGATACTGGTACCGAAGCTCGACGTCATGGAGGTGGACGGAAAAAAACAGCAACATCAGCATAAATGGTTCGAAATGTAAATAAGCGATTTGATCGAACCCCGCATCGCAGTGGCCGAAAAATGTCTCATGAGCTGAACATATCGCAATATTCCATTCGGCAAATATTGAAAAACTGAGCTCGGCGTAAAGCCATTGAAATTCCAAAAAGTGCAAGAACTTACACCGCAACAGGAAGAAAATAGATTCAAAAGAGCTAAAGAGTTGCTTAGCTTCGCCGAAAGTGGTGAACTGCCGAATTTGGTTTTCTCCAATGAGAAAACATTCGTTGTCCAGCAGTTTGAAAACAAACAAAATGATCGTGTTTACTTGCCAAAGGGGTCCGCTAAAAATGTGCACCTTCGGCTGGCTGGCCACCAGAACACAAGCGCCGGCCATGGTGATGGTGTGGGCAGCCATAACAGCCGATGGTCGCTCTCCGCTCGTGTTAATCAGAATAAATACCGAATATTATCGCGAAAATATTCTGAAGGGTGTATTAAAGCCTTGGGCACGCAAACATGTTGGTCGCAGACCTTGGACATTCCAACAGGACACAGCACCATTGCACTCAGCATGCGCCACACAAGAATGGGTTCAAAGGAGGTTCATCGCTTAATTTCCAGGGCACAATGTCCAGCAAAATTTGCGGATACCAATCCGTTGGAATATTGTGTTTGGAGTATTTTGGAAAGCAAGGTTGGCACTAAAAAATACCAAAGTGTCGATCCCCTTAATCAAGCGCTTCGTCGGGAATGGACCAAAATATCGCAGAGCAACATTCGGGCGGGGTGTGACGGTTTCGTTGGCCATTTGAAACCCATAATTCGTGCCAAAGGTGACCAAACTAACTAAACCTATTCTAAAATTTGATGAATTTGATTTAAAAACTAGTAAAGAAAGTCTTAAAGTCGGGTGGGGCCGACTTTATGATACCCTACACCAATTTGCTAATTTAGTAGAGCTTCGCATAACAATTAAACGTTTTTATGGGAGAATTCAATCATACACGCTATGAATATAAATATAATTTAAAGTTCAAATGACTAAATATGCCGAAGCATTTGTATCTTTTAAATTCGGACTTGTATTTCCCATTTGATGCACAATTAATTTGAAATCGGAAAAAGATATATATGGGAGCTTTATCCAAATCGGAACCGATCTCGATAAAATTTTGCAAAGATATTTCTGAGCTGTATTTGATGTATTTCCCTGAATATCGTTGTTGCGGAGTGCATATTACACCACAAGGTGGTCTGGGTATTAGCCTTTGTGCATTTGTTTGTAACAGACAAAAGGAAACGAGATAGACCCATACTTCCTTTTGAAGATCTGCATAAAATCACATTCGGAGTCGATTTATGCATGTCCGTCCATCTGTCCAGGTATTTTTGAAAACAAAGTACAGTTCGCATTTATTGCCCTATCCAGATGAAATTTTGCACAAATCATTTGTTTGGCTCAAGGACGGACCCTATTAAAATTGGAAAAAATCGGTCAGAATTTAGATATAGCTCTTATATAAAACTTCGTCCGATTTACATTGGATTGTGCACCAAACGTCTAATATTTGCCCAAATTGTATGAAATTTGGCACTTACGACCGAATCGATTGGTTCAGATATAGCTATAGCTCCCATATATACTGTTCATCCGATTTGTTATATTTGTTACCCACAGCCGTTATATGCACTCCGTAACAACGATATTCAGGGAAATATTTCAAATACAGCTCAGAAATATCTTTGCCAAATTTTATCGAAATCGGTTCCGATTTGGATATAGCTCTCATATATATTTTTTCCGATTTCAAATTAATTGTGCACCAAATGGGCAATACAAGTTCGAATTTAAAAGATACAAATGCTTCGGCATATTTAGTCTTTTGAACTTTAAATTATAATTAAAATTATAATCATAGCGCGTATGACTGAATTCTCCCATAAAAACTTTTAGTAGATATGCGGAGCTCTACTAAATTAGCAAAGTGGTGTAGGGTATCATAAAGTCGGCCCCGCCCGACTTTAATACTTTCTTTACTGGTTTTGCAGTGTTTTTATCTTACCCGTAGGTTCAGTTACTGACCTATACTATTCATCAAGAGAGAAATTTGCGAATGCTACTTGAGTAAAAGAGAACTTCCTTACGGGGCCTCACATTAATGGAATGGATTTAAACATCTATGGGGAAATTTTTCCGCCCAGTCGACTTTCCTAATATCTATTCTTCCTAAAATAATCTACCCTATTATTTAATATTATGAGAATGCAGCTATCAAATAAAAAAAATTACAACACATGCCCCGAAAAGTCATGCAGATGCAGCGGATGCAATGTGTAGAGAAATAAATAATAGTTTTTTTTTACAAAACACAAATTTGTTAAAAATTAAAAAAAAATGTGTTTACAAACAAGTGCAAGTGTATCGTTAGAAAATGTATATTAACAACAAACAGAGATATTTTTTGGGAGAAAAAGGAGTTGCATTGCAAGAGTGAAAAAAATTCATGCTCAAGACTCAGAAAAACATGAAAGAAACTAAAAATTATTAAAAATGTGTGACATTTTGCAATAGATGTGATCATTGAGAGCCAATTTGATATCGAACAGAAGAAGTTTAATATGATAAAAACAAACTTATTCACAAACAAAAATGTTTTAACAAATAACACTCACAATAAGTATTAGTAAATATAACACATAAATTCTGAAAAGAAGAGAGGATCCCAAGAAACGATTTGCTCATTTCTCTGGGGCCCTGCTAGGACCACAACAATACGTTACCTTCAACATTAACTTCAATATCCTCTAAACGACCGCCGTTGTGATTGATGACAAAAGAATTCGATTGGTGTACGGGTCCGGGGCCACCCAGGGATACCTGGGGACCAGACATGCCGCCGCTTATGCTCACTGTGATGGGACAGCCGGGAACGGGCATTTTATTGAATGACACATTGATGGTATGCTCACAGGCCTCGGTGGGTACGAACGAAACGGAGAATCTGTAAAGAGTTAGAGAGAGAAAACAAATCAATGCCTCTACTTGTAAAGGGAAATTTTTGCTGTCAAACCCACCTTGCACTGCCTTGCGGATGTACTTGAGTTGGTATATTCTGGCCCTTGGCCGATATTGTTATCTCCAAATTACCCTCACCCGCGTCTCCAGCATCGACGGTAAACTGCACTGGGCGACCGACTGTACCACGCGAAACACTACCCACCACCACCTTGGTGGCATCGTAAGATTTTGCCAAGAACGGTGTACCCTGCACGGGGAAGCCATTGTATTCCACATTTATCGAGTGGCCACCCACATTGGTGGGTGTAAATTCTGCCGTAAATCCGGCATGTATATCACCGGTCACGCGCACCGGCAACTCTCCGTGGGGCCCACGAACACTGACAGCCAATTCGGCAGCACCACCACCACTCACTGTGATGTGAAAGGATGCCGGTCTATTGACCGGTATCAATTCCAAATTCGATAAATTCAACATGACACGCGAGGTGTCAGCCACTTGGCAAACAAAGGGACAACCCCTGACGGTTTCACCATTAAACTTAATGTCAATCAAATGGGGTTTAGCTTGTTCCGGTGTAAACGAGACCAAACAACGGCCACCGCCCACCACCTGGACATGATTCGGTACTTCTCCTTCATTTATGGAGATTTCCAACTGTCCTTCGCCAGCAGCGCTGGCATCGACACGAAATTGACACGGCTGGCCGACAACACCACCATTAACATCGGTGACCTGTATCAAGCTGGAGTCATAGACTTTGGCTATCAACGGACCGCCAGATATCTTTGTACCATTGATGGAGGCCTCAATGACATGAGTGCCAACCTCGGTCGGTACAAATTCGATGCGTGCAGCACCATTTGCCGCCTCGTGGGTGACTCTGGCATTCAGCTTGGATTTGTTAGGACCCAAAACTGTTGCCACGCACTCGCCTTTCGCAAGGCTTTGTCCAGGAGGCGGCAGTATATCAAAAACCGCCGGTGTGTTGGCGGGTACAAGACGAGTCGATTCGCCCAATGCTGTTAGACCGGGTGTGGACATGATTTCAACGTGCCACGGTGAACCTGCAATGAGAGAGAATGAAAAAAAAATCATTAGTTGAGGATATGTGAAAATGCAATTGGAACTTAAAAACATCAAATAAACAATGAAAATCTTCGATGACCCGAAAATACAGATTTTTCCAATAAAGAGGTAAGTTCTCAAAAAATAAATAAAAAATAAAAAAAATCTAAAGAAAGAAACCTTGAAATTGGTCTTCTAAAGAGAGAAGAACTCAAAAAGGTATTAAGAAGCGAGATGATCTCAAAATTTCATTTATATATGTAGAGAAGGTCTCCAAGAAGAGTTCTATAAATATAAACGTGGCCGAAAACTTTAAGGAATAGAGCTTTCCGAAATCTTATATAGGCGAAAAATGTTTTAAAGATCTCCTATTAACAAGTGGAGCTTTAAAAGACATTTTTCATATATTTTCCATTAAGAGAATAGTTTTAAGAAAAATTCCATAGATGGGCATGTATTCTTGAGGCGGAAGATCTTTAAGAGGTCTTTTACAGACAAATCCGAATAAGGAGAGATTTAGAGGTCATCTTTATGGAATTGAACTCAAACAACCTAGAGAAGAGACGTTCGAAGTATTTTAAAGGTGGAATGGCATTAAAAGTTCTTCTAGAGACTCTTATGTCTTAAACATATCTTCAGTAAACAAAAAAAGTTAAACACCCCTCTATAGACGAAAGAGCTTTTTGAAGTCTTCGATAGGGAAAGGAGCTTTACGAGTTATATTGTCGATAGAAGAACCTTAGGTGGCCTTCTATAGATAGAGCAGCACTAAGAATTTTTCTGGAGACAAAAGACCCTCAAAAGTTCCTCTAAATACAGAAGACCTTTGAAAGATATCCTTAGAAAGTTATACGGTAAACAGACTGGCTATGAAGGTTCCTCTACAAACACGAATCCTTTGACAACCCTTCTCTAGCCAGAGACCTTTATATAAGTCCATTGAAAGCTCTTTTATAAGTAGAAAACCCCATACCTCCACATTTTCTCCTTCGAATATCTTCTGAAGTCATAAGTTCTATGAATGTTCTTTTAAAAGCCTTGTATAATAGAAGACTCTTGAAAGCCCTTTTTAAGAAGTAAGCCTTCGATAGCTTTTGTTATCTCTTCTTTAGACGGAAAAAGCTCTTATATCGATTGAAAACCTTTGAAATCCATACCAGAAATGGACTACTTTTGAAATCTCTTTTATAAACAAAAGACCATTAAAAGTTCTCTATTGAGCGAGTATCATCGGAAGTTCTTCTGAAGACATAAGTTCATTGAAAGTTCTTATATAAATATATTTGAAAGATTTTATAAGAAGAAGATACTAGAAAGCTTTCCGATAGATAACACAAAGCTCTTCCGTGAATTGAGAACATTTTAACTGCATCCTTAAAATGGTAGCCCATTGAAAGCCTTCTACGCACGAAATGCCATTGAAAGCTCCTCTATGCACGAAATGCCATTGAAAGCTCTCTATAGAGCGAATACCTTCAGAAGTTCTCCTACATAGTTATTTAAGAATTCATCATATATAGAAGACGCTTGAAAGCTCTTATTTAAAAAGAAGACTTTCAAAAGCTGTTATATCACCACATATTTGAGAAAGAAATTCGGTAGACCTCGTAATGATTTTCTATGGGCAGAATTTCTGAGATAACTGTTTTACATAGAGAAGGCACATGGAAACTATTCTCTAGACATGAGAACATTATACACTATAGGAAAAGGATCAGTTAAAGTTACTATAAAAACCGAAGACATTGAAAAGCTCTGTGATAGGAACAAGAGCTATGTTATTCAGTACAGAAAGTCTTGGAAACTACTTTAATAGCCAGAAAACTTTCGAAAGTACATCTATTGGCAGACGGTCTGTGACTGTCCTTCAATGGACATAACATATTTGAAAGCTCTTCTATAACCGTCTTCAATAGCCAGAAAGCTCTCGAAAGCTCTTATGGCAGAAAGCCTGAATATATTTAAATTTATTTATATAAGGAACAACTTCGAAAGCTTCAAAAGCGTAAGAATATCCCTGTTAGAAGAAGCTCATCTATAGGTGAAGGGCTTTGGAAAGCTCGCTATAGAAAGAACACCTCAATTAACACATTTTCGTTTAGATCTCTTCCATAGTCCGATGATCTCTGAAAGTTCTTCAATAGACGGAACCCATTTGAAGGTAATTCTTGGGCGTTATAGGTTTTTTATAGACTGAAGGCATTTAAAAATTTCTCTTCAGACAAAGGGCCTGTAAAAACTCTTCGGTAGACAATAGATCATCTCTTATAAGACCAAATGAAAGAGGCTAGGTACTTCTGTAATATCTCATAAACATCTAACTTTCTAAAGTATTGCTTTCAAACTTTAAATCGAAGATATCCCCTCCCTCCCCTATTACATTTCTGTTCCATTTCTTTACAATTCTCATAGAAAAAGAAATGCTCGGGAGATTGGAAGGTAAAAACGCTTCCACTGTTCCCCAAAAGAACATATCAATTACCTTGGGCTAGGCAATCAAAGCTATGCGCTGAGTAGAAATGCGGTCATTGTGGAAAGTGCAACAATAGATAATGACGGTAAGAGACAATTGGAAAGGTGGCTGGCATTAACTTGAACCGAGTCAAACCAAGATCAAATGCTTGCAGTTTTACACTCAAACACACACACACAACATATTCAAATTACTTTTATTTAATCGGGTCGGGGCACAATTTCCATAACATTTCCTAGCTATTGTTGTTCAGCGTCTGGAATAAACAGCAGGGGGAAAATAGAAAGAAAAATGTCACAAAGAGATGTATGAAATCACGCACAGATTTCCACCATACCACACATAACAAACAGACATGCAGAAAAAACAGACTTAGATCTCAATCACACGGCATGGGTTGGCTGTTAACCCAAGGGGAACACAGTGAAGGTGTTTTAAGGCCAAGTCAAAAGAAGAAGCAAAATAAAAACAAAAACTATACATTAGCTGAAGACATGTTAAGCTCTCCATTACATGTCACTGCATTCAGTCAAGCAGTCAGCCACTCAGTCATTTAGACAATCAGTTACCCAGACCCAGAGCCTTACCTTGTTCGCTTCAAAGGTAAAAACTAGAAACACCTTAAACTTGCGTTAAATTATGGGTTACCCATGATGACGTTCTGTGGTTGGTCTCATATTCCCTATGTAAATATCTGCCATGCAACCCAACCACCAAAATCAGTTGCCTGATATCATGATATGATATGAAACACCGATTTAGGGGAAAATATCGTTAACCAAGTTATGGCCAATTTCCGTTGACTTGGTTTAATGGAAATTGTAATAAGAACAATTTGGAAATTTATTTATGATTCTTTTTTTGAAACTTCAAAATGGGATTAGGTTTTCTTCTTTGAGAATATATTTATGGGCTTTAAGTGGTTATTTATGTTGCTGGCATGCATTCGGTTTTCACAAAAAACAAAAAAAAAAGCAAAAAAACACTTATTCCGCATATAATTTACGACAATTTCTTAGCTTATTTTCCTTTCGTGTTTAGAGTGCATTAAATTAACCTTAGAATAATTGAAAGAACTCTTCACGTCAAAATCATCCATCTACCGTTCAAATAAATTAGGAATACAATTTTATCAGACGTTTTTCCTAAACTAATTTGAAAGAAAGTTAAGGGGGACAGAAGTAATGTTAGGTGTGCTTTATTAGACAATTTCTTAATTGTGGTGATGAGGGAGCAATGGAAAGGGGGAATCTAGTTAAAGCCACTTGAGTATACTATCGCCTTTACAAATTCTCAAAGTGTTATCTAAAATATTGGGAAGCTTTAGATTTTTCAATTTTCCCGGCCAAATATCAATTTTTCGTCTAAAAATTTTGACATATTTATTACTCTTAATAGCCTAGGCGTGCTTTTACCTTTTTTGAAATACCAAATTTTTAGGTGAAGAAATAGTTCTTTCTTGTGACTAAAATGCAGGTCGCATTTATTATCCGATTGGGATTAAATTTTCCAAACAATATTTGGTGGACCCAAGGACGAACCCAGTTCAAATCAGTTCAAATTTAAATATAGCTACCAAATCAGTTCAAATTTAAATATAGCTACCATATAAATCTTTAACCGGATTCGGATTAATTATGTCCCTCACATTCGTAATATGCACCCCACTAGAATGATATTTGGTACCACATATCAGATACGACCCAGAAATACCTCTACCAAATATTATCAGGATCGGTTCAGATTTGGATGTAGCTCCCATACATATCAACGGATTTCGGGTTAATTGTGCACCAAATGGAAAATCTGTACATACAAAGTACGATATGCACTACTATGTGGTAGATAATGTAAGTATCGAATTCTCGTTCAAAAAAATTTTTACTCGACATTATTATTTGATTTTATGATCATTTTAACGGGCTGCAAAAAAGGCTTTCGGTATTTTCGCACTAAAAGGGCACGAAAATTATATTAAATCACTAAATATTGCACAAATCCCGAATATAAAGGGGTACTGTTATATAGGGACAATACCAAAACTTAGACCTATATTGACCGTTTTATGCAAGGATGTAGACCTATAATTTCGATTTTTTTTTTGTTACAGCGATAGATGAGAAGCTAGACCTAAACAAGTTAAAAAGCAGTAAGTTCGGCAGGGCCGAACTTTGAATACCCTCCACCATTTGGGACGAATTTTCGAATTAAAATTTTCAAAAATAAAATCCGTTAAAAATTCTGTTAAGATCTTAAAAATATCGAATATAGCCGTTATATTGGGGCCTATACGACGTGGACCTACATAGGTCTTGTTTGTCATAAGATATTACCATATTCAAATTCGAAACTTGAAATAAACGGTGAATATTGTAGATAAAGTCATCAAAATATCGTATATAGGGAGGTAGCGTTACATCAGAGCTGTGCGATGACCTGCAGGACCAACATAGACCATTTTCTGTCACAGGCTGTAGCATCCATTACGAACTTCAAATACGACATTCCGGTGAATAATGACGCTAA